AATATCATATGTCGTTAGTTTTTGAACAAGAACACTGTGATCGATAAGGTCAAAGGCCTTACGGAAATCAAGTTGGACTACTCTTGCCGTGGCATTTCCGTCGGTGTTGACAAGCCAATTATGCGTCATATTGACCAAGGCAGGTGTAGTAGACGATTTGGGAATAGTTCCAAATTGTGGAGGGTCGATTCTTTGTAACACAGCAGGTTTAACGTACTTTTAAACAATGTGATCTTCAGCGAGTTTAGACAGGATAGGCGTAAGGGAAATCGGACGGAGGTGCTTGTTAATATCATTAATAGGCCTTTGTTTTGGGACCGGGACAACGTCAGCCTTTTTCCAAGAAGGCGGAAGGCGAGATTCGTGGAACGAGGAGTTGAGGATCGCAGAGACTGGACCCGCCAAGAGATCAGCGTTTTCTTTTAATAACCATGCCGGGATACCGTCTGACCCGTGTGCTTTGGAGGGGTTAAGTGCAGATAGTTTCATAAAAGTTGAAAACTCCGAAATCATACGGCATGACTTTCGTTGTTGGCTTGTGGTGGGACAAAAGGATTGTGGGTAAGAGGCTCAAAAATCTGCATTTGGGTCAGGAACCCTGAATTGATGTGGCTAATATTGGATATTTACCGAGGCCGCGAAGCGGCGAGGTAAATATCCAATGCTAGCCACCGACACTGAGGTGAATAATTGTTTTAGTATATACTAAAACAGTGAGATAATTGAGCACAAAAATGATGATTTTTAACTCATTTACTGTTGCCAACGATTACAATTTTGGCGCGCGATGACCGAACGGCCGCGGTCGTCGCTTTTTTCTTAGCGACAAATAAAACTTTTGAAGGCGTTTGTTTAGCTCTTGCGGGGAAGTTTCTTCAAAAGGAGTTGTGAATTCTTTTTGTATTTAAAATAATTCTGTAAAAAAGATTATTAAATTTAGTTTTAAGCTTATTTATGAACAAGTCAATTAAATAAAGTAACGCAAGACTTAAGCTTAATTTGCATTTGTAAACAAAAAACGTTTTCACCGGTTTTATCGATAACTATTCAAGTCAAAAAGACAAAAAGCTTTATCTGTTAAAACTTCCAAACCGAACTTCGTCACCTTCTTCATGTATTTCGGAAATAGCTTGCTTGATTAGTTGTGAAATTTCTTTGTTTGTTTATGGCAGCAAACCGGGAAGGCATTTTGCTCTCAACCTACGCGAGTTTGGCGTCGCTCGCTCGGAGGAACTGGTGGTGAAGCAGTGAATAGTGCAGGATATTCACTGATTGAGTAGCCAATCAGAGCGCGCGAAAAACACTATCCACTGTTTTAGTATATGCTAAATGATATTATCGTCATGGGTCATACATAAGTGAACAATCTGGTTTTTTTTTATACAACTCACATCGCTGTTCTGGGTTGGGTCTCCAATTAATCCCTCCTCTCTTTTATACACAGCATCTTTCGCTGCCATACACGCATTGCAAAGAAACGAGTCTGATATGTCATCTATTTTTATTTTCCATGCTTGCCGTTTTGAGTACATTAGTTGATTGTCTTGCTTCAACGTAGCATTTTCATGTTGTAGTACGGCAGTTTCTTTTTGTAACGCGGCGTTTTTATCGGGGAGAAACAAACAATTTTGGCCTAAGCCCCTCAGTAATTGACGCTCGCTGTTGCGGTGTCCCCGCCTGTAGTCACTTATCTTATTGTTTGGCAAAGTTAATAAAGTAAAATAAATTAGACACAGCTATTTCTTGGTCCGCCTCAGATAAAGCATTGCTGGTCGTTTTACAAATGAGAGAATACACATTGGCACTGTTACATTACCGGGTAAATAGCTCAACCCAACTAAATCCGTTTATATAAGCGTCATGCATCTCTTGTTCACAACCTTCACAGATAAAATACTCTAATAAGTGATCCACTCGGCTCTCCCAAACTCGTAAATATGTTTTGGCTCGCGCTAATTTCATCTCTAATCCAGCCAAATCCCTTTCTTGATTCTTCCTGTCGGCATTGGCTTCATTTCCCACCATTGTCCTCTGTTTTTGTTAGTAACAATAAACTGGAGTTGATGTTTCGCTCATAATTGATCATGGACTTGTCGGGCTACAAAAATGACATAAGGCAATTTGGGGAGACGTGAAACCGTGTAAGAAGACTTCATTACATCACGCTTTTCAAAGAAATCAAAGGATGGGAAGAGCACAGAGAGTCCATGTTGAATCCTATCCTTAAAATAAGCACCAACATGTTAAAGACCTTCACTTAAGAGACAGGAGTAACATCATAATAAATGGAGGTCCAAACAGATCTCTGTTTTATACCCTTTAAAACAAAGGGACTTGTAAAATAAATCATCATGTTAAGACAGGTCTCGCTTACTTTTTATCCTTCTTTTTATCCTTTAACTTGCTTGAAAAACCTAATGTTTAAATGGGGTTATAAAAGTGATTTTCTCTCAATTTTCTTTGTTTTGTTTTGCAGTCTTTCCAATGTGTTACTCTTGTCAGTATGGCTAAGAAAACGTAAAGTTCAACCCCAAAGGGAAATAGAAGAAGTACTAGATCAAATGGGGCGAACCCTGAACGAAGCAACGCAGATTGATATCCCAAGAAAATGCAAAGTTCAAGCCCAAAGCGAAATCGAAGAAGCGCTGGATCAAATTATTAAAATGGGGCGAACTATGAATGAAGCAACGTAGATTGATATCCCAGAGGTGAACGATCAAGTAATCCCGACGGACCCAGTTGCGCCGACAGAACCAGAAGGGGCTTGCGAAAGTTGTTTTGCAACCCTTTTCTGCCCGTTCCGCCACGAACAGGATTTGGCGTTTAAACGTAACGAAAATTTGAAGGATATTTTTATTGTCCTACCAACAATTTTCATATGTTTGGCCTCGAATATCATATTCCAGAATTAATTCAATTCTGTCAAAATTGCACACACCCAGACGTTCGCCGTCATTGGCGAACCTTTCATTTTACTGAGGGAATGAAACCAGTGATGACAGTTAAACGACCGCCAAGAATAAAACTCGAGCGTTTTTCAACAGCAAGAGATGACAAGACCTATTTTTTTCAATGGATAGACGCCCCTCTTCATCCAAAAGTCAAAGAAATCATAGTTCATAATCCCTTGGCATTGGAATTGCCAGCCATCTAAGCAGAAAACGATGATTCAGAGGCGTCTAAGAAGATTTTGCAATATGGTCATCATTGGTGTCGTAATGAGGTTAAGTTCAGATTTTTCCAAAATGTCGCTCTAAAGATTAGCACCGTGGAACCAACAAAAACGACAATTCACGGCCCTCTAAGGCGATGTTGCAAATTTGCTGCTTTTTGGCTAGATATAAGGCTAATATCAAGTTTTAAGCGTTAAAGAGGCTGTCCGCGTAAGGATCGACATGGCATGACAACTATCCTATCCCATGAAAAAATACCGCATTTATTTGAACCAATTCAATTTTTTTCTCTATATTACAGAAAGATTTTCTAGGTCACCTTAAACTTAGCCAGTTTGCCGTCGGAAGTGGTGCGATTTTGCTGAAACTTTACGACTCTGCCAAACTTGCCTTATAAAGCTGAATAAGCTAATTATTTTACACAAAAGCTTTAACTCTGATTAACAGATTCAATGTGTAATGGTTGCATTCTGTGGAAAGTTGGCTGAGATATGAATTTTTTCAAATGATCTTTAATTTGCTCGGCAGGAAAAGTAATTTGTATAACTAAAGCTGAAAAGCAATTGTGCAAGAGTGGCACCTGATGCAGACTCAAGTCTACGATAAATCAGAAGTACTAAGACCAGTCTACTTCTTAATGCAATAACATTTGTAGGCACTCTTCTTTGCGTGGTGTACAAAGTTTCGTTTATGTTCCAAAATTCGCCATATTCACCACAAAGCTGAAATTGTAACGGTTCACATATGATCGACTAATTTCCACACCTATAACGTTTTTAGTTATCACCAAATTTCATTAGACCCTTTAAATGTTGGAATTTTGAAAACATATGGGGAAAATTTAGTAGTCGCTTTTTTTCTTTGTTTTTTTTCCTTGTAGACGATGAACGTGACTTAATTCTCCGTATCCAAATTAACCTTAGCTGCGTTTCATCAAATTGACAGGAAATATAATCCCTGCACTTCACATTTTTAAGGAAAAGATAACTCCTTTTTACGAAAAAAAACACGAACCATGAATTCCCTCAAGGTCTGTTTCTTTAGAGGAAGAAGCAGCTGGGGAAGTTATGTTAAAGTGGCTTAAAATAATTTAATTACTGTGGCCTACTGTCACGCATTCCTCCAGAGTGGCCGAGTATCGATCCGTTCTATTACCTTTTTTGGATGATAGTTGTTGATAATCATACAATTAAATCACTTTTAATTTCGATTTTTTGCGGGGTGGGAAATACTGTGCTGCTATATTTATTCATTCCACGACCGTTTTAACTGAGTCTATACCCGATACCGCTACTGGGACAGGGTTATGACAGCCCATGGTGTAATGCACGCCAAATATAAATAGTCACTTGGGGACGGCCACTCTTATTCACGAGCACCGCAGAGTCAACAATTAATCTTTGGGAAATAGCTCGCAAACAACGTTAGAAATACCGTGCGATACCACAGGACCACACCTGCGAAGTCCTTTCATCACCATACACATTTCCTAGATCCCCAACTAACTATAGGTTACCCTGCAAACTTTAGGGTGGTATTAACAGAGCACTATGTTTAACGTTAATTAACAACATTCCAGTAAAAGTTAGGGATGGCATGCACAAAAATGCATAGTTATTGTGTACGGTCCGTCTCCTGTTAAATCCCGAAAGTTTTTGCTTCTGTTAATCACACTAAATTAAGGATCCCTATGTTCACTCCTGAGCTGGTGGAGAAAACGTGAGAAAAGGACGTGCACTCTTGTATGAAAGACGAAAGTTTGTCAAATTAGATCTCTTTTTCTTTCTCTGGATTTGAATGGTATTTCAAAGTGATGCAAGTTTTTTTTTAGCATTGCACGTTGAACTGACTAAGTTGATCTTCCTTAGCACAGAAACATAAGTTGACAGCGTCATATGATAGCGGGTGTTGTGGTCTCAATTCTTCAGCGATTTTTGCAACAAGATTTTGCCTTTCGAACTACTCGTCTTCTTGCAACAGATCCCCCTGGTCGAGTTCAATTTCTGCAGAACCTTGTTGTCTTCCTTTTTGTTGCTGCGAGGCGAGAAAAGAAACCTTGCACCTGGCTTTTGGGCAACCATTCTTCTCTAGTAAACAGCCGATTGTTTTGCGCATCTTTGCTTTGCGCATGTCGTTAGAAACCTGCAGAGGGTCTGCTTTACGTCCCGTCTGTTCACCAAAGTTAAACTTCGCTGTTAAATATTTCTTCACTTTATCAGTAAACTTGGAAGGTCCAGCGCTGGGCTTAGCCAATGCCCAACCCATACAAACAGCTGGGTCTGATGGCCGCGGGTCATGCTGATCACTTGCACTTTAGACGCTAGATGTGCTTGGCATATCTTCAGTTATGTTAACAGCAGTGATGAACCTTTCCACCCAGTTGCGCCGGAGTTTGTCGTAAAGTGTTTTGGAATCCTTCCTTGCTTGTTTTATAATGTGATCCCCGACGTTGAGATGTGACTCCAGCTCTGAAAAGATTGGGAAACGTTTGACACATCCGGGTTCCCAGCACTCACACAAATATAGCTGGTTATCCCTATAATCATCTGAGCTCTCTGACAGGGGCTTTTGACATCTATAAACCCGTGTGTCTTTGAAATCAAAAGAAAAGCTAATGAAAAGGAGCGCGGTGCTCTCTTGAGATTGTGAAACTAACTGGTCAAAAGGAAACTCTTCACCAGGACCTTTCCCGTATGATCTCCAGACACGTATGCCTTTTTCCTCGAACTGGAAATTGTGTAGCCTTTTAAAGCCTACCATCTTCTTCACCTCTAACGTCTTCGTGGTCTCATCGACAGCGCAGACGCAGGCGATTGTTCCTATCACTGGTCTTTCTGACAGTGCTCTTTTCATGTCAGCCGCCGTAAAAATATCATGTCCTTCGTCGCAGAATCTTCTAATGCGCGATTTCATTGGACATAAAATTCTGTCACATACATCTTTGCTACATTGTGGCTGTGAATAATCATAGCGGCAAACGTCTATACCCATCCTCTGACCAAAATCCTTTACTGCAGCGAGAACGAAGTTAGATAGATCCTAGAAACATGTGGCTTCTGCCTCTTGATTTCTTGTAGAGTGTGCTTAGCAACTGAACAGACGGCAAACCAGTCCTGCTGACAAGCATCAAAGAGGTGAGCATAAGACTGTAATCTAGGCTACCCGGGTTTTCTGGATCACTGCAAATGACCGTGGAGATATGCCAGCTCATGCCTCTCACTACGAGCCTCAGCGCTCCGGAAGTTAAAAAATTCGTACCGTCTGGTTGCTATGAAGTGACGTAATCATCCAGTTGAGTATCCATCACCGTAACACTTTTGCGGTCAACTACCGCAGCGCTCGTAAAGTACTTTAATTAAAACCGTGTTGAAAACCCTGTAGGAAGTCTGTTTATTTTTGAGTCGATTAATGCACTGCTGACTTTCACGAGGTCAACTTTTGCATAAATTATCAAACATTATGTTAAGCGGGAAATCTATCTATGGTTCGCGGGAGAAGCAACTTCTATAGCGGCGCAAGACAAATGTTTCGAGAGTCGAGGATGTGCTCACAAACTATTCACTATGCGACGAAAGGAGAAATCACTGGCATGATAGCTGCATGTAAAAGTAATTTTATCAATCCAGGTCGCGCCGTGTTCGCTCGAGAACGCTGTGACAACCTCGTTTGGCGCGCTTCTCAATAATTCCAAAACATGTTGTAATCGGTAAGTAGACTTAAGCACTTAGTATCGCCAAGCAATTCGAATCAGTGTATACCCAATTCTTTGTCTGAAGATTCTCGCAAACACATATACCAAGTAAATCTGGATGGAAGAGGAAATTGTCTCCCTAAACGCAGCCAGATTATATTTTGAAGGATGGCGGCACAATTCAACGCGTCTTCCAGGTCAGCCCTAATTTATAGTTCGTAAGAGTATAAATTGCGATCTCCCTATTAAGCTTTCTTTGATAAAACTTCAGTGGAAAAAAAACAACGCAGACATGACATTCTCCTGCATGAGACACAATCGGCTGAAGTAAATATCTGTTTACAAGTCGGGTAAATTATCCATTCTTGCGCACCGCAAAATCAGCTAAAATCATGAGCGCTTCTAAGAATACCACGTTTAGAACTTCGACGCGTAGGAAAAAACGTAACCGTACGTAGCGGTAAAAAATATTTACGCAGTTGTTCTATATCCTTTCTGGTTCACCCAGGTAGAAGTCCTGGCATGATATAGTTATGCCTGAGCGCTTCTAGGATAAACAACACGTTTAGCATTTCAACCCGTAGCCGCAAAAAAAAAAAAAATTTAGGCAGTTGTTCTATATCCTTTCTGGTTCAGACAGGTAGAAGTCCTGGCATGATGTTATTATGCCTGAGCGCTTCTGGGATATATAACACGTTTAGCGTTTCGACCCGTAGCCGAAAAAAAGAAATTAGGCTGTTGTTCTATATCCTTTCTGGTTCACCCAGGTAGAAGTCCTGGCATGATGTTATTATGCCTGAGCGCTTCTAGGATATATAACACGTTTAGCATTTCGATCCGTAGCCGTAAAAAAAAATTTAGGCAGTTGTTCTATATCCTTTCTGGTTCATCCAGGTAGAAGTCCTGGCATGATATAGTTATGCCTGAGCGCTTCTAGGATATATAACACGTTTAGCATTTCAACCCGTAGCCGCAAAAAAAAAAAATTTAGGCAGTTGTTCTATATCCTTTCTGGTTCATCCAGGTTGAGGTCCTGGCATATTATTATGCCTGAGCGCTTCTAGGATATATAACACGTTTAGCATTTCGACCCGTAGCCGAAAAAAAGAAATTAGGCTGTTGTTCTATATCCTTTCTGGTTCACCCAGGTAGAAGTCCTGGCATGTTATTATTATGCCTGAGCGCTTCTAGGATATATAACACGTTTAGCATTTCAACCCGTAGCCGTAAAAAAAAATTAGGCAGTTGTTCTATATCCTTTCTGGTTCATCCAGGTAGAAGTCCTGGCATATTATTATGCCTGAGCGCTTCTAGGATATATAACACGTTTAGCATTTCGACCTGTAGCCGTAAAAAAAAAATTAGGCAGTTGTTCTATATCCTTTCTGGTTCATCCAGGTTGAGGTCCTGGCATATTATTATGCCTGAGCGCTTCTAGGATATATAACACGTTTAGCATTTCGACCCGTAGCCGTAAAAAAAAAATTAGGCAGTTGTTCTATATCCTTTCTGGTTCACCCAGGTAGAAGTCCTGGCATGATGTTATTATGCCTGAGCGCTTCTGGGATATATAACACGTTTAGCGTTTCGACCCGTAGCCGAAAAAAAGAAATTAGGCTGTTGTTCTATATCCTTTCTGGTTCACCCAGGTAGAAGTCCTGGCATGATGTTATTATGCCTGAGCGCTTCTAGTATATATAACACGTTTAGCATTTCGACCCGTAGCCGTAAAAAAAAATTTAGGCAGTTGTTCTATATCCTTTCTGTTTCACCCAGGTAGAAGTCCTGGCATGATGTTATTATGCCTGAAATTCTAGGATATATAACACGTTTAGCATTTCGACCCGTAGCCGTAAAAAAAAATTAGGCAGTTGTTCTATATCCTTTCTGGTTCACCCAGGTAGAAGTCCTGGCATGATGTTATTATGCCTGAGCGCTTCTAGGATATATAACACGTTTAGCATTTCGATCCGTAGCCGAAAAAAAAAATTAGGCTGTTGTTCTATATCCTTTCTGGTTCACCCAGGTAGAAGTCCTGGCATGATGTTATTATGCCTGAGCGCTTCTAGGATATATAACACGTTTAGCATTTCGATCCGTAGCTGAAAAAAAAAAAAATTAGGCAGTTGTTCTATATCCTTTCTGGTTCACCCAGGTAGAAGTCCTGGCATGATGTTATTATGCCTGAGCGCTTCTAGGATATATAACACGTTGGCAATGAAATCGACCGCAGACTTTAAAATGTTCTTTTTAGAAGGCACTGAATTATTTTTTCCGGACATTTTGTTTGATACCGCATTTTTAATTAATTTTATTTGTCGCCCCAGGATGATGACATGATTGCGTGAAAATTGACGCCTCTATCATATTAGATGGGAAATACGATCAGAGATTAAGGGAATAGGGAATGTTGCAAGCTACTGGGTATCCATCTGACATAGCTGACTTTTACTCAGCTATCTCAGCTTGATACTGAGGGGTTTTTTTGGTTGCTAAGACCGTGCAGCTCGTTCTTTCCATACCAATCTGACTGCTTCTCAAAATATCTGAGCTGCTGAAACGTCATCGCCCAGTCCATTACAAGAAATGCCGATTCTGGGTTGTAAGCTATCATCTTCAGCTGATCTTGCTTTGCTGCTTCTTGATTAACTGATCTGACGATGTGAGCTTTCCACTGAAATATATCTGTGCGAGCCTGTCTCAAGTAGTAGAGAAGATCTTCTTGTTGGTCCTCGCTGTAAGGGTGCCAGGAAGAGCCTCTAATTTGTACTTATACTTCATCTAGAACATTTTTCAGATTTTCACAGTAACCGCAAGTTTCTGAGTGCTGATGAGAACAGAATTCTGTTTGTCACTGAGGGCGAATTTGCGGCAGTGGTCTAGACAGGCGGCTTCCTCTGGCTTGCAATGAACGCGATAGTCAGTCTTCAAGCTTTCTTTTGGCTTCAGTACACCATTTTTTCTCCAATCCTCCATCAATGATCATTTCAACCGTTTGGAAAGCTGCTGATCCATCAGCGGCGGTATTGTCGAGACACTGGAGTGACTTTCTCTGAGAGGCTTCCCATACGTCTAGAATCTTGAATAACGTACTGCGGCTGAGGGTCTCACACTTTTCTTCTTGGCACAACTGCATATATTGATTGATCATCGTCGAGCGTGTAACTGTACGCACGACATTTGGCATTTCCATAGTTTCACCACTGTCCAGCTTTATTAACTTGGTTCCATATGAGACATTTTAGTAGAGATATAGGCGATTAATGAATTCGATGAAATGCTCTAATTTGCTCATCTCAATACGCACACGATGGTACTTTTTTTTCTCGGGAACAGTACCTGGGCCTAGCGTTCTTGCATGGCATCTTGCTTGATATATTTGATGTGTTGATAATTTTTCGTACGGGTAATGAACTTCTCTCATAGTCCTGACGGAATACTTGTAGGCATACAGACTGAGACTTTGGGTTTTGGTGTTCCTGGTGTTGGCATTCCTGTAAGCGTTCATTAGGGATTTCGTCACGTCATCGATATCGATCCATCTTTCGGGGCTATTACATCGCAAACAAGTATGCAGTCCTCTGCTGCTTTCTGAATAAAATGTTGTCGTTCAGTTAAAAGATTGCTTTTCTCCCAAGAATCCAGTTATGAATTAAGAGGGACTCGTTCACAAGATATCTCAGTGGCAATTTCGTCCATTGACTTGTTGTATACATTTAGGACGTCTTGGTTATTGCTAGGTTTAGGTGTTGACTCAAACGGTCCTGGAGTCGAACGTGGGCTGGCAATAGGCGAGCACGAAATTGGTGGCTGCCGGAATGGAGGTGTTTCCAACTGAGCGGCGTGTACGCTTATTGTAGCCTTAGCAGCATCTTTGGCGGTTCTTAAAGAAAAAAGGAACTAACTTAAGAATTCAAGGAAAAAGTGGAAGGACTTGATTTTTTCAGAAGTTAAAACAAAGGAGAAATTTCACACCATTAAGTACAAATGGTGGTAAAATTAAAGGTGGAACTGGGGGAAAAAGGGTGGATAGTAGGATAAAAATGGAGAGATGGGAGGAGCAGTTTAATGGAGCACATTGTTGTGGGGGGTATAAATAAAAAAACTGGAGGCATTTTTGAACGGAAACGTTATAAAAAAAAAAAACAGATAAATTTTGTCCGACAAACCTCTCCGGCAAAGGTGAGGACATGGTCGCTGACTGTTCAATCGTACTCTTCTCGACCCTTTGGAATTCTAAGGCGTCTTCTTTTTTCGAAATGTTTCTTGCGACAGGAGGTGCAAATAGCTATATAACAGA